GTGGTCTTCCTTGTTCTGTGCTCTGACAAGTCTCTGTGCCTCTCTGTCATAAAATTGCCATGTTGTTTGATGTTGTTTCTCTTACTAAACTGTGAGTTCCCTGAGCCCAGGGACTACATTTCTGGTTCACGTCTGTATGAACAAATGTCACTCAAATTCTATTGAAGAGGACCTTCTTCCTTCAAAAGTCAAATAAGAGCTAACAAGATAAAATTTCCAAATAACTGGTCTTTGAAAATGACTATATCCTTTTGAAAATAGAAACCCTATCATTCTGCATCTTTTAAAGGCAAGAAAATTAGGAGCAAAAACTAGTATCTTTTCTATTCCTGGGGAATGGGGTTTATGTCTAGATAAATTCTCAATGGGAAGAATTAGGAGATTTTTCCCTCCTTATTACATCTTGGCTTTCAGTGGATTTCATTTGCCTTAAGGTTTTAGAATTCCAGCATGTCATAAGATTTCCAGAGAAAAAGTTAGAAATGATATTTTTCATCACCTAATATTGAATCATCAATCTGAGTCAGGCGACAAACCAACTGAGTCACTTCTTCTGGCACGAAACGTAAAGTAATGCAGTAGACACTTAGCAGTATCTCCATTCACAAAACCAAAGTTGGAGCCAGCCATTCTGACCTTGGCCATGAATCTGTCCAATTTGGCTACTCAGAGTAATGAGTCAGCTTTCTCCCTGATCATGAACTTGGAGGCTAACTGGCCAAGTAATATTTTAAAGGTTTCCAGGCATGGGTAAAAGAAAATTGTATTTTGCATTCAGTTTCTTTCAACCCATGTTGTAATTCTGGGAAGCCTTGGCACCTACTTTAAATGTTCTAGAGATAAACATGAAGGAATGAGATGCACACATGTCATTACCATGACTGTGTTCAATGTGACAACCAGACTGGAGCAGATGCAGAGTTGCATAGATGAATTACCATCTTCCTAAAGGGACAGAAATCAGTCTTATGGGGATGGGATCCAGGAAAGAAGATCAGCATTAGCACAGAGGAAGTGCTAGGGAAATTGGTACTGAGTTGCTGGGACGCCAGGAGCAAACATTAGGACCCTGACTTGTTTTAAGACAACCTGAATCTTGGTGGGGAAGCCTGACAGACAACAGCAGGTGGAGGATCCAGAGGGAAGTATCAAATGTCTTTATATGAGACAATTGTTCACATGCTAGAAGGAAAGTTGGAGGCAATATGGCAAGGGGTTCAATTAACAGATGGAGTACAGAAAACTGAAAATACCTGTTGCTATGGTCTGAATGTCTGTGGTCCCCCAAAATTAATATGTTGAAACTTAATCACCAGTGTGATGATATTAGGAGGTGGTGCCTTTAGGAGGTGAATAGATCATGAGAGCTGAGCCCTCATCAGTGAGATTAGTGGCCTTATAATAGAGGTCTTCCCTTCCACTGTGTGAGGATACTATGAGAAGGTGCCATCTGTGAACCAGGATACAGGTTTTCTCCAAACACCAGATCTGCTGACGTCTCGATCATGGACTTCCCAATCTCCAGGCCTACGACAAACACATTTCTATTGTTTATAAGCTACCCAGCCCATGGTATTTTGTTTTAGCTGCCTGAATAGACTAAGACACCCACTGAGCATACGCACTTTAGAGAAGGTTCTATAATGAAATAATGCAAAGGTAGGGCCAGGAGGTGGAGCCAGCTATAACTGGTCAGAGCAGAAGAACCACGGTAACTGCCTTGCCCGTGAGCAAAAGGAGCTGCGATGGCTGCAGAACTTTCCTCCATCAGTGAGACTGCAGGCTCTTACCCAGGCCCCTCGGCACCATGTGCTTGAAGTCTGCTCCCCAACCCAGGCTGAAATCAGGTGGTATGAAGATGCTTTTCCAGGACAGGATACTCAACTGACATATCTATGCCAAGCCAGTCCACCACAAAGACTTTAAAATAAACCTGAAAATTAAAGACCTTTGGAAAAAGTGAGCTAGTCACTGTTAAGCATGTACAAAAACCTTCCCTAAAAGTTTTCTTTGCCTCAAGCACTCAGCTGCCTCTGTGGCCTGTGACCCAAAGGAATTAAAAACCATATTAAGAGAGGCACTGTGCTCCTCTTCTTCTTCCTTCCTTCCTTTTTATTCCTGAACAAATCAGCCCAAAAGTCACTAGGTGGGGCTGAACAAGACGGGGGGTGTGGGGACAGTAGCCCAGTGGGGTGTGCTGGAGCCAGAGCAGGGTAGGAAGGGGACAGCAGTGACCCAGCACAGGCTGTTGAAGCCCAAGTGGGGTAAAGAGGGTGTTGGTTAAGGGAGGTGGCAGGGGTCACCCAGAAAGCAATGTTGGAGACCAAGTTTAGTGAGGAAAACAGGAGATTGGTTATATAAAGGGGGGGGGGGGGGTCAAATAATAAATATACTGAGATAACCAGGCACCTTGTTGTCAAGAAGGAGGTTACAGATATGGAAAGGGAGAAAACGTGAATGAACCTTGTGTTTGATTAGAATTAAAAGGTATTAGGGTGAACTCATGGTTTCCAAGACAGACAGACAGATAGATGTGTATAATCTCTAATTCTGTCCACTGAGAGTATCCGGGAGCAGTGACAGTCCAGTAACAATGAGCACACCTAGCAGCCAGATCTTGATCTCTAAATACTGTTCTCCACTAAAAGGAACTAGTGTTCTTTGGAGAAATGACTGATTTCAGGGTTGGGAAAATACAAGATGAAATTGGAACATCTAGTGATGCCAGAAAGTGAGGAAGCACTTGAAGAATAAGGGCAACATCTCGAAAAGACACAGAAGTCATCATGAAAGGTCTCCCATTAGCTATATCTGAACAAATTAAAAATAAAAATAATAAAAGAAATGGATTATAACCCATTGAATATAATAGGAATCCATGAGACTATACTGAGATAAATAAATTAATAGATTTAAAGATTGACAAGGAGTGGGATGGAGATTACATAGTACCAAAGTACCTCCCCACAAAATATTTATTAATTGCAAAAGGAAAAAGTAACTTTGCTGTGCAGAAGCCTGGCAGACACTCCCTCAATCAAGTGACCAAAATTAATATCCAGAGATCAGAGTTCCTGTTCCCCGAATAGCACAAACTGGTATCATGTGCTACCTGTTTGGATACAGTGAGAATATAGCACTGATCCTGTGGTATTCCTACCAAAGTTGCATAACCTGAATGTAATCGTGTGAAAGCATCACACAGACCTAAATTGACTGATGTTCTACAAAACTGGGGGTAACAGGGCATCATGCTGGCAATTTACTCTCACATAGTTCAGAATAAAAAGATATCTGTACCGTACTTGGGAACTTTTCTTTAGGTTTGAGATTGTTTCAAAATTTAAAAATTAATAATAAGAAGAGTGATTGTATCATCATAGACTTGATGGAAGCCAAGTGTCAGGATGGGATTATGACATGCGTGGACCAAGTTAAATGCCAACAATTATACTTTAGAGCAATCCTTAAACTATCTCTGGTGAAGGATCCGTTTTCCTGCCCAATCCATTGTAGACCAAAACTTTTGTAAAATACAAAATCCCACATTTGAATTCCAGGACAATATCAAATTGCTACAAGAGTTTTTAAATGCTTACTCTCAACGTCTGTACTCATTTCAGCATGAACAGGTAACAGTTCATGGACTACTCGGACCACACTGTGAGCAGCACTTCTCTATGGCAGGATGTGTAGACAGCCACTGGCCATCATATCTGCACAGGAAATAAAAACCACAGGCCACACTTGCTATCCATGATGGTAGCAACAATCATTTCCACTCTAATTACCATAGACTGTCTACACAAAGTACCCAAGAAAGGATGTCACTGTGTTCCCACCTCCAAATGCCACAGTGGGAGATTCTGATTCAGTACATTCGGGTTCAGAAATCTGCACTCTTAAGTATCTCTCTTGGCAACTATGATGATCGCTTACTTAGGTGTGGGAAGCACTGGCAGAGAAGGGTTAAGAGCTCGTATTTGTGAGTTAGATAGACCTGAGTCCTAATCTCATCTACAGTGACTAGCAGTATGACCTTGGGAAAGTTACTTAGTATCTTTGAGCTTCAGAATAATTATCTGAATATTATTTGGAATATAATAGTGCTTACTTTAAAAGATTGTTATGAGGACTAAATGAGATAAACCATTATCAGATGGTTACTTAGCACAGTGTTTGACAGTAAACATTTAGTAGAATGTAACTATTGTTGTTACTATTATTACCGCTAATTTTCATGTTCTTTATAAGGGATCTTTCTTTGTATTGTCTTTGTACAGAATGTACAAAATAGAATCTACCATTTCTATAGCAAAAAAAAGGGACTGCCCAGACACTGCAAGAGGATTAAAGACCTGCTTTTGCTTATAGTAACTCAGCTTCTCCAAATGGGTTGTACAACAAGAATGGATGAGAACACCCCTGATTCCAAAGTGGTGACTTCCAGGAAGATGAGCCCAATCACCCAGAAAGCGGAATAAAACATCTTCCATGGGTCAGTGTGCAACACCAAGTCATGACCATCACTGCTGGGAAGGGACCCAGCACTCAGAAGGGGTTAGTAGAACTTATCTCCCAAATTAGATGGGTTTGATCTACAGATACTGAGGTTCATCAAGACACTGACTCAAATGCAGTCCATACACGAGCCTACTCTGCATGGTTCTATGCCACAAATAGCCCCTCCCTCAGCCAAGAGGCAGCCCCTTCTAAATAAAAGAATAATTCTCTGTGATAAACTAAGACCAAAGCAGAAAGACCAGAAAGGAGCTAGTGCATCCGCCAGGAAGTGGCAGACACCATCCAGGCACAGGGTTCTTCCACAGGACAATCTGACACTCCAGTTGCACATCCCTGAATGCCAAAATCCTCATGCCAGTGTCTCTGCAACACAATCCAGACACACACACAGGAGGCTGCACACAGAAACCCACAAGCTGGAATCCACAAGAGCAGATTTCTGCAGCATCTGCCTCTGGACGAGGCACTTCACTTACCTGGGGCGGTTTTGTAGCACGCGGTTCTGGAGGGCAGCGAGGATGGGGCGTTCTTTGCCCTGGGGCTCTGCGTACTCTGCAAGACTTGCCTCTGCCGCTTCAGCTCCTCCTCCCTTTCCTGGGCTGCTCGGATCTCTTCTTCAATCATGGACAAAGTCCGCTGCTTCCTTGACCTCAGCTTGAAGGGTCCAACCATCACGTCGGACTCCTGAGTGGCCAGGAGGGAGGCTGTGCTTCTCAGCTCAGCTGCCTCCGAGTACTTGCTGAAATAGCTCCCTTCGGGCCTGGTCTCCTCCATGTCGACTGGGCCACTGGGCTGCATGGCCGGCAGTGGCTGGGAGGGACCCCTTTCCCTGAGCGCCCTGTCTTCAGCAGGCAGGATCTTTGGTAACACATCCCTTTTCTCTTGAACAGGAGAGGACACCTGCGGTGGCTCGAACATGCTCTGGGGCTTCTCTGAGCTGGAAGCCCCAGTTTCCACTTCCTCTAGAGCCACTTCAGGGCCCTGCTGTTCTGCTCCATCCTCGCTGGGTTTGGACACAGCTGTATCCGCTTGCTCGGCGATGGCTTGTTGAATGGCATTCTGCACCAGGAGACCAGCCTGATATTCCAAAGGGTCATCAACCGACAGAGAGTCTCCCAGCATGGAGGAAGGGGAGTAGAAACCGTGATCACTAAACGACTTGGAGACACCTTCTCCTCGGCCTTCTGAGGGGTTGTCAGTTTGGGGAGTCTGGGGCAGAGAAAAATCAGCCAGTGAATTTTCCTGGAGGGCATTGGTTGTCTCATTGGAGGCCCCGCTGTCACTGATGGTGTCCATGCTGAAATCGTTGGACAGGGTCTCCAGGACGGTGGTATCCTGGGACCTCACTGACAATTCGTCCAAACCAGAGTCAAGCTCCTCTTGGGTCAAGGAGACATTGACTGATCTTGAAAACTGATCCAAAATCCCGTGGTCATCATCCTTGACCACAGTGAGGACGGCCCGGGCACTCGTAAACTCTCCGTCCTCTGCCCACAGTTTAGATAAGGGCCCGCGCTTAGACGGCTCACTGTAGGGCCCGTCCTTCCCCTGAGGGGCTGTGCTGCCCTGGCCCCCGCCCGCTGACTGGCTCTCCAGGGTGCAGGAGGCCTTCTGCCCCTTGGCTGCCGATGCACCACTGTCTTCTAGGGGTCTCCCAACAGAAGCTGGTCTCGTGATGGTCAGTGGCTTATCCGAGTTGATTGACCCCAGAGGCCTGTAGAAGGGCTTGATAGAGAACAGCCTGGGTGTACTCTGGCCCTTGGCCACCGTTTGCCTGGAATTCTCCATCAGCTGGAACTGTTTGCGAGCAGCAGAGAAATCTATCTGCTCTGTGACGATGTCCTCCTTTGCATTTTCAGCCGCACTTGACCGCGCATGGGAGGATGCAGGGGCTGTGCAGAGCTGCGGGGGGGGCTGCTGCTGCTGCTGCTGCAACTGCTGCTGCAGCAGCAACTGCTCCTGCTGCGCCCTTCTCTCCTTGCGCTCCTTGTACTTCTTGTGCGACTCCAGATGCTCCTCGTCCAGCTGCTCCTCGATGGTTTTTTCCTGGGGGGGATTCCACCATTTGGCTGCAATGCCAGGATTCTTCTTCACAGCCTGACTCCGGATGAGCTCTCTCCTTTCCTTCTCCAGCTCCAGCATCTCTTCTGTGGGCCTCACTTTTCGGACACAGTGTTGTTGTTTCTCATGCTCGTCGTCCTCAAAGAGCTTGGAGGGCTTCTTGTCCTCGTGGAAGGCACGCAGCTCAAACTTGGCCTCCTTCTTCAGGGTGGTGAGCGTGAACTCCCCATCTCGGGAAGAGCACTGGGAGCTAGTCGAGGAGCTGGGACTCACGGGTGCCTGCAGGCTGTCCCCCAGCATCGCTCGGGACTGGTCGAGGGAGTGGCCGTTCGCTCTCTCCCCTTCTGCCATAGTGTCAGAGTCACTTTTACCTAGCTCAGTGAGAGGAGGTGCCTGATGGCCAGCAGCTCTCTCAGTGGGTTCTGGCTGGATGGCAACGCGGGCAGGTGGGCTTAGGCTGCCCACCAGGATCGCTGCACCGGGCTCTGGGGAGGATGTTCCGTTGTAAGTTCCATCCACAGCAGAATCGCAGCAGTTAGCCTCTAGCACCTCGTCTAGATAGCGGATCTCTCTGGCCACATCATTATCCAGGGATTCGTGGTGATCGGTGAGGAGGCCATTGAGGGGGGGTGAATAGAAAGGGGAGGGGTGGTCTATGGAATGCGGAGCAGAGGTGACTCCAGGAACACTTTTACATTCTGCAACCGACACCTCAATTTCCATGTTTTTGTGATCTGGGGAAAGAGAGCTGGTAGCAGGCTCCAGGAGGTTGGCTCTATAGTCGTCTCTCTCGTTTTTTAGCCGAATATCATCTTCAGAAAGCTGTGGAGGCTTCTGGAAAAAAAAAGAGAAAACAAAAGTCAGGATTAAATACTGTATCTCAGATGGATGTGAATGCTGAGAAATTCACTCATAACAGGAAGGAAAACTGAAACAACAATGACAAGTTCTTTTGAATAGAGGTTCTTCTTCTAATAATCCTTTAAATATTTATTTCATTGTGGTATCAGGTACCTAACCTTCTCCAATTTACAGGTTCCATTTGGTGTATTGGTTGTTGACTAAATGCTAGTCCCATTTTAAAATTTTATCTTCTAAGAGTGAGAGTATACGATGGTACTTCAAAAAGTTCATGAAAAAATACAATTACAAGGTAATACAAATCTCTCCATGAACTTTTGAAGTACTCTGGTATAGTTACTGTACCAGAGTCCTCCAAAACATTTCATAGCAAACTACTGCAGGATAGTAGGACCACTTGTGTGTCCTCAACTATTAAAAAAAAGGTTATTTGGCATGAAAAAATCTTCTTCTTAAAAACATGATTCTCTGCCAGATGTAGTGCAATTATTCTGTAGACAAGAAAGTTTTTGGAAAATCTTTCCAAAATAAAACACTGGAAAACAGTAGATCCTTCAATGGCCCCTCACAGGGCTGTAATTGACCATGTGCGTTATAAACACCATAGCCAAAGCCACTGACAGCACAGTTCTGTTCTCTGGCACTGAATCAAAACAATACTCCTTAGTTGAGGAGTGAGTGTTGCTTTGAAAAGCTGGTACCCAGCAGCACATCCCCTCCAGTTACTAAAATGCCTTATATGTGATATCTCCAATTTGTGGTTAAATAAGAAAACTGCATCTTCTTAATGTTTTTAAATGCATCATATTTTTCCATCAGCTATCCAGCCTGTGTAATTTTGCTACTTGGCAATTAGTAAGATTAATCTTCAAATTCTAGGATAATGTATTTTTTCATACCAAAAGACTCTGGTTTATCTCAGAGAATTCAGTAGTAAAATATATACTTAATTTGAGTTCCCCTCAAGGATTTCACTAACACCTTGGTCAGCTTTGTTTGCCTGTCTCACGTTTATAGTGTGCCTGGTTATTTTTGACACAGGACAATGCAAAATTGCAATATGGTATAAGTTTCATTTACGTTTTCAACCATTTTAAAGACTTAGAACATAATATTAAAACCCCACCTTAAGATGATTTTCAGAGGATTGGTTTCAAAATGCTTCCAAGGAAAATGGACAATTATGCATTTGTTCATAAGACCTAGTAAAATGTGGGAGTTCATCCTATGTGCCTGGCATCGACATTGGAATGTTGAAAGGCTCTCATGGTTATCCATGAACTGGAAGGTTATCTATGAACCCTCCAACTCCCTTCACTCTTTGTTTTCCATCTTCCCCTTCAGACTTCAATCAATCAAGAATACATATTTCTTCTCTAGTGATAGGCAATATTCCTTCTTTGTCAACACCTCTGGTCTCTGATGTTCTCCCAGTCCAGGTCTGGTCTTTGTCAAAGTCTGATACTTAATACAATTAATATTTATAATCACTAATGTCTTTATTTTAGACCATCATTAACTAATGACTCTTATCTTTAGATAAAATGCCAAAGAATATTTACTGCCCTTTTAAAGTCACTAAACTTTTGTTGGTAAGGCAATTGTCAGTAACTTCTACTCGTATGTCTTTAAGAATTACAGAAAATTTGAATGCCTGAAACTTATTGGCTGTCATTTGATTTAAACTAAACCTTGGCCAAAATTAGCCCACTCCATGGACAGGTATTATTGGAATAAACAGACAAAGAGAGATGTGTGCTAAGGTAAGAATCGGATTACCCATGGCACCCTACCCCTGGCTTCTTTTGGCCAGTGATAAATGATTTACTGCTAATGTTCTTCACAGGAATAGCAGAGCTTTCCTTCTCTCCCTTTTGGCTTTGTGGGGGGAAAGCTGGAAAATAGTAGAAAGCTGCTGGGACTGAAATATGGTTAAAAATCACTGTTCTACTGAAACATAAAACACTTCAGAGTAGTCAAGGAGGAAGGAGGGAAGTGTAATATTAAAGGAAGCTAAAAGGCAAATAATTAATTCTACGTAGTTCATTTATTTATTAACACATTCATTAAACACACAGGAAGTTTATTCTGCAGGGCCATAATGAAATCAGCAGCTACAATAAGCTCCAGGAGACACCCTTTTCTTAAGAAAAAAAATGTATTTCCCATACTTCCAAGGAAGCCATAAGTCCATTTTAGAGTTTACTTAGTCTGAGTCAAGAGAAAAGCAAAACTTGCCTATATTGGGCTCTTGCTACTAATCACAGAGATAGGAGTGACTGGGTTTGTCTCCACAGCACTTTCCAAAAACACTTTTTGGCTTCTCATGTGAGCATTTTCCCTGTCTCCTAAATGCTTCACAGTTCAAGTGTTCAATGATGGACACACAGACACCCTGCCAGCTTTTTCTTTTTAGGACCTGTCACTAAATATAGCTGAAAGGGTAGAGCTACAAGGAAAGCCCTCAAGGTGTATAGAACATACAATAGCCATGGAGGTTATGTGAATGCAAGGGTCAGTTATCCTCGCTAAGGGAACATCACGGAAGATTCCAAATGCATAGATAGTACAGGGAGGGACCCTGAAGGAGTGAAATGTAAGGAAAGTGAAAGTAAATGGTCAGGTTCCCTCTCGGGGTTCAGAATCTTGCCAAGCATCTGATATAAATGATAACTGCCACGTGCACCCAGGTATTCCTTGGTTATTGTCTGATGTAACTGTGCATGTGTGCCCAGGTGTTCTTTGGTTGTCTTACTCACACCCAGGTGTTCCTGAGTTACCAGACTTAAGTATAAAGGACAAAAGGCTCTGATCCATGATGCTCCCTGCCTCTGGGATACTCACTGCGGGGGGGGGGGGGGGGGGGGGGG